TCAGCCACGCAACAACAGAGCCTATTACCTCCAGTCAATGTGGTGTGATCATGTGCTAATCATTCACCAAAACTTGTTTACGAGCGGTGATCCCTAGATTTAAATATGTAGACATGTAATATTTATGTTGGTGAAATTACCAGTGTTTATTCCAACATATGGCCTAGTCACTAAAATTCATTAAAAATAACCGTGTAATAATAACAAAAAAATAACCTGTTAATTTTATTATAGGCAAATCTTGGTTAAAAGCATTTTAAAATTAACAGGGTGTTGCCCGGCCAGGTGTGGCTCAGCGGTTGAGCGTCGACCTAGGATCCAGACAATCGGGATTCAATTTCTGGTCAGGGCACATGCCCAGGCTGCGGGCTCGATCCCCAGTCGGGGTCATGCAGGAGGCAGCCGATCAATGACTCTCTCATCATTGATGTTTCTATCTCTCTCCCCGTCTCCTTTCCTCTCTCTGAAATCAATAAAGATATAAAAAAAAAAAAAATTAACAGGGTGTTGATTTTCACATATGACATATGGACCAGAAATTTTGACCATTAAATCTGAAGTCCATTAAATAGAGGTCCACAAAATCGAGGGGTTACTGTATATCACAACCAGGTGAATTCCTTCCAGGAATGAAAAGGTGGTTTAATATTTGAAAATCAAAAAATGCAATCTACCACACTAACAGAAAACATGTAACACAAAAATAATAACAACAATCTGATCACTTCAATAGATGTAGAGAAAGCATTTAGTAACAATTAACATTCACTCACAATAAAAATTCAGCAAATGAAATAAAAGGGAGCTTCCTTAATCTGATGAAAGATGTATATTAACATCCCTCACACACACACACTGATAAACTTCAATGGTGAACTACAAAAACTTTCCTGAAATTCTATTATCATTTCAGTTCAACATTTTGTTAGGGGTCCTAACCAATGAAGTAAAGGGGAGGGTGGGGAAATGAAGACTTTGCAAACAGTATGATTGTATAGTATATACAGAAATTCCAAAAGCATCCACAGGCAAATTGTGAGACTAATGAATAAATTTACCAAGGTCACTGGAAAAATAAGGTCAAAATACAAAAATCAAGTATATTTGCATATACAACAAAAACTTAAAATATAAAATTTAAAAGTGCCATTTATAACAAAACTCAAATACCTAAAAATAAAGCAATAATGTACAAAATTTTACAGAAAAGTACAAAACATTAATAAAAAATATTTTAAAATCCCAAATAAACAGAACAAGTATTGACATACTCCATGAACTGGAAGACTTGCTACAGTAAGCATGTCAATTTTTCTCAAAATCCAGTGTAATCCCATTCAACTTCCCTGCAGGGTTTTTTGCAGAAATTGACAAGCTCTAATACTTAAATAGATTTTAAAAAGGCAAGTTGAGCAAACTGTTGAAAAGAACAAAGATGGAAGACTTATACTACCAGATAACAATACTTATTTTAAAGCTACAGTAATTAAACCAGTATAGCACTGATATAAATATAAGCAAAGAGACCAATGAACTAAAAGAAAATCAATAAATATGTAAATATTTATGATAAAAATAACCCTGCAGTAGAGGAGCGGGGGAGAATATGAGTTTTCTAAAAAAGAAAAATATTAACCTTGATCTCTACTTCACACCATGCACAGGATTAATTTCCAGGTGGCCTTGTAGCTCTAAATATGAAAGGTTAAAAAACAAATCTTTTAGACAAAAACACTGGGACTTATCTTCATGACTTTGGAATAAACAAAAATTTCACAGAGTTAAAAAAAGTGCAGACGATAAAGAAAAAAATGCTATATTGGACTAAGTTAAAATTGTTAACTTCTGAAATTTAAAAAGCAACGGTGACATACAGGCACATATGTGTGTGTATGTGACACACACAGGCATACCTCACTTTACTTTGCTTCAAAGACGTACTTTTTTACAAATTGAAGGCAAGAAGATTAGAACTTGCTTTATTGTGGTGGTCTGGAACCTAACCTGTAATACTGAGGTACACCTGTACATAAAAGACTTATATACAAAATATATGAAAGATTTTTACAAATCAGTAAAAAAACACCATACAGCCCAATAGAAGGCACTTCACAAAAGAAGATATCCTACTGGTAAATTAACATATGTGAAGGTATTATCACAAAACACAAGACAAAAATCTCTGTGCAATACTACGCTATACCCCCACCAGAAGAGCAAAAGTGCAAGAAAGACACCAGCAAGCATTGACTAGAAAGTAGAGTTTCTGGAATGCTCATTTACTACCAGTGAGTGTAAACTAGTAAAACCACTTTGAAAACCTTACAGATATATACAGTCTATAATGCCGAGTTTCCCTCCTACATATTTTACCAAGAGAAATGCATAAATGTTCACCAAAAAACATGTGGCAAAACCCTCAAAGCAGTAGCAGTAGCCAAAAACTGGAAACAACCTAAGTGCCCATAACAGCAAGATAAAGTACTAAGTTGTATCACACAAAGGAATGTTATATAACAAAAAATGAACACACTACAAATAACACATACATAATACTGATTCAAAGAAGCCAGACATGAAATAGACATGTTTATAAATGTACTTATGTGGAATTCAAGAATAGACAAAGCAAATGTTATTGTGCTAGAAATCAGAATACTGGTTGTACCTCTGATGGGGGGTGAGAGAAGGACTGAAAAGTACAGGGAACATGTAAATGGTTGTTAAACAAGTATATACAAGTTTTCAAAATTCCCTGTGCTGTATGGAAAAGATTTGTGCATTTTATTGTATGTAAATTATCTCTCAACAATACAGTGTATTTAAACAAAATAAGAGCCTAGACTCTAGACAAGTGCTGGGCAAAGAAATCAGTCTAAAAGGTGTTTGTTAGGGTCCCTGGCAAGATAAGGAGCTTGCACCACAATGCATTCCTCAAAAAGAAAGCCTTGCTATGCAAACAGTGTTAACTGTACTAAACAATGGGTTGAAATAAACTGTTAGTAAAGACACAGTTCACTTACTTTTCACTGAAAGCTCCTTACCTCTACCTGGCTGGAACAAGCACTGTTGTAGAGAACAACTGAACTGTGGTGGTGGTGGAAGTGGGGAGGAGAGAATGTAAGGACACAGAGATGACAGGCATGGGAGCCGGAAAAGGCCTTTGGTGGAGAACCGATGGAGAGACCAAGAAAAATGAGAACACTTTAAAGATATTCACTTAAACAAACTATTTTAGGGGAAAAAAAGAAAAAAGAAAAAACAGAAAATGTGAGACAATTTAAATAAAAATAGTAAGATGGCAGAAGGAAGTCCCAGTATATCAATAAATGCAAACATAAAGGGACTAAACTCACAGGTTAAAAGAAAAAGCCTCTATTTTTAAAAAATAATAACCTATTTGCTATGTATCAAAATGTTTGACAAGAAAAGGCTAGAAAATATATAAATAAAACTGGTGAACAATACTGATACCTGGAAAAGATAGGCCTTAAGACAAAAAGCATGAAGAACTAAAGATGGTAAACCTTCCAAGAAATGTCAGGTCCTAAGCGGCTTATTGCTGCCATCTGCTGGACACAATGTTCATGGCCACTTTGATCATATTTGCTTTAAAAAGACCTAGTAATAAAAAAGCACATAAGGCCCTAAACGGTAGTATTTTCTTAACTTCCTTTATCTAATAGGATAGAAATATTCTTTCTGAATTAAGTCTGTGTCCTCTCTCTGTTTGTGAAACTTAACAAGGCTTTGGTAACAATGATTATTTTTTCCAAGTTACATTGCCTGGCCCTAGATGGCACGGCACAGTGGTTAGCACATCGGCCTGCGAACCCCAGCCCTGGTCAGGGTGTGTGGGAGGCAATCATGAATGTCTCTCTGTCTCTCCCCTGCCCAGGCAACCAATCAATGTCTGTCTCTCTCTGTCTCTCCCTCCCTCCTTTTCTCTTCCCCTTCCCCTTTCTCTGAGAATCCATGGGAAAAAATATATATCCTCTAGTGAGGATAACAACAATTACATGGCCTGAAATCCACTTGGAATTTAATATGTGCACAAAGCCTACCAAGTTCCCACACTGGAAATTCCATATATTACACGCTGAGTAAGTACAAGTCACTTTAAACACATCAACTACACTTTGCTCATATAGCATATATCATAAACATTACTTGCAATGTTTCTTAAAATATGCATGTATAAATGCATGGCAGGTCTTCTAGTACTGGTTTCCTCGCCTTCCAGGCACACGGGAAAATTGCTTAATACATAACATTAGTTTGGCTCAATAGGCTTTGTGTGAAAGTTCTATGTGCCACCTGCAGGCCAAAGCAAGTAACTGCACGTTTCAGTCCCTCAGGCACTCTTCCTCTACTGGACAAGAGGGGGCCTCTAAAGGAGATTAAAGCCCCAAGGTCAAAACAGCTCAGAACACTTCAGACAGCTACCCCAGAGCACTGTTCATACCTACAATAGGCTTTGTAAGAGTAAAGAATAATTTTTTACTCTGTTAAGCCCTGAGAGTTGAAACACAATGCTACCTGAGCCTAGCCTAGCCCAGGGTTTCTCAACAGTAGCACTACTGACTTCTTGGGCTGGATATTTCTTTGCTGGATGCTATTCTGTGCATTATAGGGCATTAAGCAGCATTCCTTGTGTCTACCCTCTATCTGCCAGTAGCAACCTTTAATGGAGAACCAAAAATGTCTCTTGACATTGCCCTTCCCCCCACTTTGAGAACCATTAGCCTAGCTTGATTTCTCTATGTATGTGTATTACAAATTTGTGTATGCGAGCATATTTAACTCACATGTCATTTGACACAAATATATGCTTTTTGTGTATAAAGATAATGTTTTATGAGCCCTTAACATATAAAAATTTCCATTCTCAAACTAGGAGAACTAATTTATTAACTTAAAAATAACCTAATCAATATCACAAAGCTCTCTGCAGTAAGATAAACAAACCATTCCAAAAGTGTATAGAAATCCATACGTACTATGCTGTTCATTTCGGAGGATTCATAGCTCCCAACTGGGTGGATATTTCCAAGGGGCTCCAAGCCCTCTTCATCCCACATGTATGTTCCATCAGAACTATCAGATGGAGAGAGTTCAAATGAAGAACCAGCTCTGTAATCTGTATCTGGTGAAATCAAGTTATTCCCAGAGGTATGTTTTGTACATTCACTCCTGTCTTCAATTGATTTTTTTAAAAGAGAGAGAAAAACAGCTATTAATTCACAAAAATATAATTATTTCTAAGATTCCAAAAATATAACATATTTTTATATTATAAAATAAAATTTTGATGTATTATAGCAAAAGAAGTTAGCAAAAAGCATTAATAATGTAGTATTTTCTAACTTCTAAACAATAAATAAATCCAAAGGTAAAATCTTAATAACCTACTGAAATGTTTCCCAAAAGATACAAAGAAAATTCACTGATCCATCTTTTACTTCTGCAACATTTCTAGAAATGTAAGTAAAGCCTAATAGTCCTTTAATATTTCCTAAGATATTTACATTTAAGCACTGGCCAGGAATCTCCTTCCTCTGTGTATATCATTTAACTCTGCAGTGGCCTCCCTAGAAGGAAAAAAGTTGTTCAGGCAGTCACTCCTAACTAGAAGACTCTCAGACAGTCAAGGGTTATGTACATCTCTAGGCATAGTCTAGTGCCTTGACCAGGCTATATGCCTTGCCCAACTCCTTCAGTTTGTTCTTTTTTCAGGCTATATGGACACATGGACAAATTTTCTCTGGCATCTAATGCCAAGATAACCAAAAATAAAGAAATGTTTAATATGTGCTATCTCACTTTCCTCAATTAAAAAAACAAAGGTCCTCTGAAAGTATTAACTATAAAGCTTGCTATAACAAGAAATCTAAGTCTTCCTTTAAAAATATTAAAATTTCCTAGAATAAGAAAATTCATTAGATTAGGCATAACTGCTCATTTGTCCTTTGGTATAGCTTTACTCTTAACAAGTAGCAATGATCTACTACCCTAAGAAAAGAGATAGTTTAAAATGGCATGCCACCTGTTGGGGAGAGTAGGGGAGAAGTTTTTTTGAAGCAAGTAGAAATAAGCCTGTGTATGACAGCCAAAAAAGAAAAAAGGCAAGAGACCTCAGGAAAAGAATGTTTTCACTGATGTTCTAGATAAAGTGGAAAATAGGATGGGGCACAAAAGTCACAAGGAAGAAAAATGTTGCCCCACTCCTATTTCATCTAGATCCATCACTCCATGAAATTGACAGTATCATGGAATTAATCAGGAGATAACCCTAAATGTAAATTCAGTTACATTATCTAGGAGAAAGCAAATAAACTTAAAGATATTAATATTTACCAGAGACACTTATATCTACCCACTCATCAGTTTTACTGAAGGATTTTTCATTTTCCTTGGGGGAATCAAACATATCCTTTGGTGGTACATTTTCATGCTTTTCTTCTTTGAGAGACATTTCCTCTGGAGTTATTCTACTTCTGTTGGAGTCTTCTATATCTATAAAATCATCACTGAAGTCTTCACTTAAATCATTCTTATCAGAAGATGACAAAGAAGACAAGGAAATGTCATCCACATCATCACTCAGGTACCTAATTTTAGCGTCCTGCTTCATGGGCTGGCCATTTTCTGTCCTATAACTATCATTTTCAGTTAGTTCTTGGTCCTTGTCAGCAGTTCTGTCCTTAGCCAAAAGTGCAGTATCTTCCCCTACACATGTATCAGCCGGTGAATTTTTATTACCATCAACTGTGATAGTCCCAGAAAATGGAGATCGGCTAGATTTCAGTCGAGAGGGATGAACCATCCTATAACCCAAGGTGGAAGTTACACCTGGGCCATTTGGTAAAGCCAACTTCTTTCCACCAGCAGCATAAGGCCTATTAAATCCATACCCTAAATGTTCATTCCTGTTGAGTACTTCTGACTGCTGGGAATTTCTTGATAGCATACTTGACCTCAGAGGCACTCTAACCGGTAGATGTTGGTTCTGATAAGGCTTAATAAGATCTGCAGCTCTATTGAAGGAATGTGATCTGGTTATAGATGAAGGTGGAAAGAATGAATTCTGAATGGAATGTGAAAAACTCTGTGACCTTACCATTTTTTCACAAGTAAGAGATTTAATATTGTCTAGGGATTGTGCTAAGCTTTCTCCAGAACTGCTTCTGGTAGCACAGGAGTTTGCTCTAGGTCTCTGTATGCTACCAGATGATCGATTTACATAAAATCCATTCAACTGCGATTTTGGAGCACTGACTGAAGAATATGAAGTCCTTCCTAATAACGTGCCTTTGGTAAATTTACCCAAATTAGATGGTCCAGACAAAGACTTTTGTTTTAACTCCTCTGCAGATGACACAAACATAGTGGATGGCTTTGCTAAGTTTGATGTAAATAAAGAAACACTTTTCAAACCTCCCTTTATCCCATTTTTAGCAAACATTCCTTGAGCAGGTGCATGTCTTTCAGGATCAATTACTACATCATGTGCACTCTGAGTGTCACTGGGCTCTTCAGCACTTTGTGTACTAAGTCCATACTGAGTTGCTGTTCTCCAATTAAATGAATGGGACGATGGACAATCAGAGCCATTGTTTTTGATGTAACTTTTGATGTTGCTACTTTTGGAAGTTCCCAATAAGTTAACAGGTGTCCCATTTGGCATTGGCTGCAGTGTACTTCTCACAGATTTTGTTCCATACTTTGGCAACTTGGAACCCAAATATGTCTTGATTTGTGTTTTTTCTTCCATGAGCTATAAGGTACATTTGTTCTTAAAATTTGACAGAATCTGAGGAGACAATAAAAAGAGATTAAACATTTGTAAATAAAGATAATTACATAGATTGTTACATAATATGAATGCATATTCTTATATAATTAAATGCAACAAAGCCCAAAAGCTTCTCATGATTCTCACAGAACTCTTAATAAATACTGAATGCAATAATTAAATTAATAACTTTATGTTAGAAGAAAATGAACACTTTTTATAAACCTGGGGCTATGGATGATGACAAAGATCCAGAAATAATAAAAGTAGGCTACCAAAGACTATTTTAAAAAAACCAGTAACAACAAAAAACCCACTTCTATAGCATATCTTTTTATTTTAATCCAAATTACTTTTTTTACTTTGGGTAATATTACCTCCTTTAAAAATATGAACATGTGACTTTGGAGTCTTTTTTATAAGCATACATTATCTTATAGAAACAATAATACATTTTTTAAACTTTCAAGTCATAGAAAGGATATAGATAAAAAATACAATAGCACCAAAAAGTCTAATGGCATTAAGGACTGAGATATCAGCTGTTGTTTTAAGCAACAATCTCAAAAGAATTTTTATCCATTAACATAAATAGACACTACAGTTAGTGCCAGGGTAAGAAATATAATGATTTAATAAAGCTGATTAGTCCATTAACCTGAACTTCTCCAACTTATTTTAAAGGTAACACAAAACAACAAACACAAAAACGTTCAATGCACACACAAGAACATAAAACTAGAAACAATTAGTGTCCTCTACTTGAGTAACTGTTTAATAAATTATGATGTCATATGATGAGATTACAAGATGAGACAGAAATATTAAAATGTTTATCCTAACATTAACAGAAATATAATATGGTCACTATATGTTCATTGGTATTACATAAAATTCTATAAAAGGCACATACAAGAGCAAAATGCAAATGAAAGAAATATGCATGCTTTAGGGTCATTGATATTTTTAAACTTATGTATCCTATGATAGTCTTTAATTTGTTAGTCTTATTTTTTAATTAAAAAAATTGGTTCCAAGTCATCACAGACCTTTAGAATTAGAGAGTTTCAGAGGATTCTAAGGTGGCAGCGGACTGAGTGAAGCTACACTGACACTCTCCCAGGAACAAACTAGAATTACAACTAAAATATAGAAAAACCATCCTGAATAATCAACTGAAGACTAGCTAGAGAGCACCCTCATAACCAAGGACCTAAAGTGGAGACCACACAGAGACTGGTAGGAAGTGTGGAGGCACAAGAGAGCTGGTAGGGCTCCCACAGGCAGCAGCTGAAGGTCTGGAGAGATATCTCAGCTGTGGGGGGTTCCCACTGAGGACTCTGGGGTCTAAACCCCAAGCTGGATCCCGCAGCCCACAGCAATAGAACTGAGAAGGTGCCCACAAAACATCAGGCTGTGAAAAGCAGCAGGGTTTCTGTCTGCCAGGAAGAAATGGCTAGAAATACAGGCACCCTCTTAAAGGGCCAACCCACAAAGATTAGTGTGCAGCCACTCACCTTGGGCTCCAGCAGAGGGAGGGAAGCGTGGACTGGAGCTGTGTAAGGAGAATCTAGGGTTGTGGGCTCTGGGGATAGAGCTCAGAGGACACCCCTCTGGATTCCTGTGCTGAGTCATTCCCCCATACAACAGAGGACATCTTTCTAAGACAGACCTTTCTCCGCCAGACAGCTTTTGCCTGGGAGGGGGAAGCAAGTGCACCACCCACTGGAAAACCTCTTCCCCACCTTGTGGAGTTTACACCTTGCTGTTGCCTATAGCCTGAGCTCATTAAGAGACTCAGATTAATCAGCCTGCAGGCAGAGGTGGACCTCAGAGGGCTTTGAATCTTTCCCTGATATGCTTCTGGACCCGGGCCTTGGAAAAGTAGACTTTAGTGTGCATCTTGGTCTTGTCCAAACGCACACAGCACCAGCAGAGGGAACCACAAGTTGTGGGTTGTTGGTAGCTCCAAACAGGGTAATCAAGACCAATCACAAAGAGTGTCTGACATTGGCCTGCACCAGAGACCTCCAAAAAGACTGGGAGTCCTAGCAGATCCACCTAATACATAGAAACAAACCCAAATAGGCAGCCAAAATGGGGAGACAGAAAAATAAGACCCAAATGAAAGAACAAGAGAAGTCTCCATGTGAAGAGCTAAGTGAAATGGGGATAAGCAACCTATCATACAGAGTTCAGAATACTGATTATAAGGATGATGAGAAAAGACAGGGAAACTATGAAGGAAATTAAGGATTACATAGCAGAAATAAAGAATACACTGGAAGGAACAAACAGCAGATTAGAATTAGAGGGCTTCTAAAATACGTATGTGTTATTTATTATGTAAAAAATAATACTTAGGAAATCATACAGACTTTCAAGTAAAGACTGTGGGTTAAAGCAGAATTATCAAACTTCCTGTCTCCAAGAACTAATAAAAGAGAAAAAACATACATATATGTATGTATGTGTGTGTTTGTGTGCATGTGCGTGTATGTTTTTTTAGCCAAAAACCCACCAGTTGCCCTGGCCAGTGTGGCTCGGTTGGAGCGTTATCCCTGCACTGAAGGGTTGCTGTTCAGTTCCCTATCACAACACATACCCCAGGTTGGGGGTTCCATCCTCAGTCAGGTCACATACGGGGGGGGGAGGCAATCAGTCAATGTTTCTCTCTCACATCAATGTTCTTCTCTCTCTCTGACCCTCTCCCTTCCTCTCTCTCTAAAATCAATGGAAACATATCCTTGGGTGAGGATCAAAACAAAAACAAACAACCACCAGCTGCAGTCAAGAAACTGCTTAAACTAAGAACCTCTACAGCTGTCAGGGGTCTAGGGGGTGGAGGGATTGATCAAAAAAGAAAGAAAAAAAAGAATGAACTTATGGACACAGACAACAGTGTGGTGATTGCAGGGGGAGGGGAGTGGGTGAAGAAGGGAATGGGGGATCAATAGTGATGAAAAAAATTAATTAAAAAAAAAAGTAATAGCCAGAAAGATTCTGTACAGTATGGTCTGGCTCCTATCCTAGCCTGCAAAGCTCCCTCCCCTTAGGAGGATCCCCACACAGGGATCCCAAACCCAGAGCAGCAGAGGCTGGAAGAAGGGCCCATGAAGCATCGGGCAGAGGGATCCAGGGGAACTCTGCCTAGGATGCTGGGTCCATCTCCTTCCAGGGAAGGAGTGAGTGTTCCTATTGCTAGCAGCCCAGCCTGAGAAGTTCGCTCTTGGCTCTGAATGCTGGGGAGTCTGCACTGCAGTGTTTGGGTTCATCAAAGGGGCCTGTGGGCTGCACCCAGCAAGCGACTTTCAAGGACCCTCTACCTTCTTGAAAGGCATTGTGCAGAGCCCCAGTTAATGACTAAACTGTTTGACTTGGGGAAAGGGAAAGGGAGTTTCCCACCTCAGGGGCAGGGCTAAAACCCCTCCTCCCCCTTGTGAGCCTCCAATACTGCTAGTCCTGTGGGGTTAGCAGCATGGAGGAGCAGAGCAGGTTGGGGATTTTTGGCCCGTACTGCGGAGAGTTGAGAACAATAGCGGAGATGGGAATTTATGCCCGTTTTGCTGAGACCAGCTGCGTGGAGAGATATGAGTCCTACACGGGACTGATTTTCTAACCCCTCCTGCTAGGACCTGTGGCATGAGGGCACTGGTTCCACACAGAGCTTGGATTTTTGGATTGTATCCCCTGGGAAGACTTCTATTGAGGAGACAGAGGAGCTAGTGCTGGGCTTTGTGACTGCATCGTGGGGAAGCTGATCCGAACTCCCTGTGAGTTCAGCCAGGCAGCCTCAGGAAAGAGACACAGAGCCTGTCTTCCTGCCCTACAGGCTGCAAACACCACCCCCAACAGGAGACTGTTTGGCTCAGCTCTGTGAGGTCCTGGATATCCTCACTGGGTGCAGTTCTATAGAGGAAGGGAGAGTGGCTCAGAGAGGGACATTCAAAGTGTGAGACCATCAGAGTCTACTGTCTGGGACCAGGAAGAAGTGCTTAGCCCCATCTTGCAGGCTGGGCCGGAAACAGTCTCACCTGGAGACTCTTCTGATCAATCCCACTGAGTCGAGGGCAGCTGAACCTGCTCCTGCAGAGGAGACAGCAGGCTGTACCCAGCCTGAACCTGCAGCAGGACATCTTAGGGGAAACTAGCATTGGAATCTATGGTAGAGACTGAGGAGCTTGCCTTTGAAGCAGAGATTAATTTCCCCTCACTGAGTGCCTATGTTAATCGCTAAGCAGGGGGATGGGGCACTAGCCAGAGCAAGGGTAGCCTGGGTCCACTCTAAAGACTTTGTTCGGAAGGCAATGGAGGAAGACAAGGCAACCTCAGGGAGAAGGTACTCAGATCAACCACAGATCTGGCCCCAGCTCTAAGCTACAAGAAGCGGACCCATTGACACAGATTGGTCCCTCCGATGAACACACAGGTCTAGCAGACGCAGACACAAACAGTGAAGATAGTAGTAACTACACACAGGCAGCCCAAGGACAGTTACATACAATCTCTGACAGGGACCTACAACTGAAACTCACCCCCAAAACCCCAAAATGACCCATAATCATCACAATGAGTGTTGAGCCTCAGACGACACCAGAAATTGACCCAACTAAATAAACAAGTGGCACATCCAAAGGTGGATCCTGGTAGGCCTCTGACCCTACTGGGAACATCCCTGCCTTGGCAGGGAGTCGCTACATACTGTCTCATACATGGTGATAAACATGTACCTCTATAGACACCCAGTCTGGAAGTTTAAAGATTGTGCCACTGAACCCATCAAGACACCTTGAGGCTACACCTGCACAGCAGCCTGCACACCATGGTCGGGGTTGAGCCTGAGTCAATCAGCCTGAGCATCGATCCCAACCATGAAAGGCCATCAGCAATCAAGACACAATTACAGAAGGAATGTCCAAACAACCCACACAAGAGATATTCCTAGAGCACCCAGCTCAGGAGATCAAGGAGACTGCACTACTGGGAGCCCCACCAAGACTGGGAGTCATTAGCAGTCC